TACACAACCATTGTATATTTAGACATGTTTAGGTTTCTCCGGTAATCTAAATTTTCCTTTGTCTTTCTTTGTCTGGTAAGTTCCAACCATTGCCTTTAGTTGATGTATCTCTTAGGTCTCTTTCAACCTATGGGTCCCCTCCATCTGTTCCCCCCCAGGTACCCTGTATTTGCTGTAATTGTTCTAGAGTTCCCCACAGTCTCGATTTTCTTCACATCCCCATGGTGGTGCTGTGAAATAAGCATTGGTTGCCAGCTGCAAACCTTAAGGTCAGCAATTCAAACCCACCAGCTGTTCCTGGGGGGAGAGATGAGGCTGTCTGCTCCCCTAAAGATTTATAGTCTGGGAAACCCTGTACAAGGGCGACTGTGAGTCAACATCGACTCGTTGGCAGTAAGTGTTTTTTTTTTAATCATTTTATTATGGGCTCATACAACTCCTATCACAATCCATACACACATCAATTGTGTAAAGCACATTTGTACATTCATTGCCCTCATCATTCTCAAAACATTTGCTCCCCACTTAAGCCCCTGGCACTATCCGCTCAGTGCAGAAGGGTAAGCCACTCACCAGGTGAGCCTATTGAGCATTGAGCGACAGCTTGTGAGATTGAGGAACTGGATTTTTAAACACAGTTCAGAGCTTTAAAAATTACAGAACACAGAGGAACCTATTTCTTTTATAAATCATAATGCTACTCCTAGAATTCTTAAAAGACATTTTAAAATTCCTTAGTAAACAGGGGCTACAAAAATAAGTACTGAGGACTTGTTTTTTAGATAGATGAACTAAGATATGTAGATATATATATTCACAGCAGACTTCAAAAAGTCTGTGGAAATTTTTCATTATTTTTTAATTCCATTTTTTCCCCCCACCAGCTTTCTGAAGCATGTGTGTACATGCATTGGTGTGCATCCATATGTGGGCGCTTCAGAAAGTTTGTTGAAAAATTCCACTATCTTTTCATTCCATTTTCCAGGAACTTTCTGAAGGTCCCTCATCTTTGCATGTGTGTGATCCGATCTCTCCTTCTATTTTTGAAGATGAGTAAAGCAAACCATAATTCCAAACAGATGGGACACAGACTTGTGAAACTTGAATTACAGTGTTAAAAATTTGTCACTTTGATTGGCAACTCTAAATAAGGGAGTGTGCTAGTAAGGGAGGAAAAGCACACCACAGTTTGATCATATATTTATAATAAACATGTCGTAAGATGGTGTTTTGTCAATAAAACTTAGTTACCAGAGTTGAAATATTAGCATGAAATCATGATTGTTTTCACATGCATGGTCTTTTTAGGCTTTATCTCTCAATTAGAGAGTCCTGCAAAGATCAGGAGTCAAAAATGAGAATACTGAGGCAGGTGTGTGTGTGTATGTGTGGGTGAGGGGGTGGGTGCACCATGGAATAATCCCATTATCATCTCTTAAATCTGTTTTTCCACGAACTTTTTGACACCTCCTCATATTAGAGAAAAGCAGTGGATTGGGAAGTTAAATTCAAGATATTATGTATTATTTTCTCCATCAAGGAATAATAGATTCTTCTGGTAGTGCTCTTTAGCAAATTAAACTTGAATTTATTCATTCTTCTTCCTGGTGGTTTGTTTTGTTTTTAAGTAGCAGGAAACTTCTTAGTTTAAGTGCAGGGATCGTTTTAAAGAAGACTGACATTGTTAAACAATAAAAATCCAAGAGAACTTTCCCTTACCCAATCTAAATAGAATCACAGTAATTGAGCTTTCGATGAGATCTAATAAGAAACCCACAAAATTTTACACAATTAGGCAACTGATTTTGTAGCCCACAGATAGATGGATGGATGGATGGATGGATTGATGGATGGATGGATAGCAAGCAATGAGGTGCAGTGGTTAAGTGCTTGACTGCTAATC